CGGACAGCTCCGTGCTGGACAGCGCCGGGGGCGGGGGGCAGGACCAAGGGACCTAGAACCCGGGAGCCTAGAACCCAGGAGCCCCGGGCCTGGATCAAGGGACCTAGAACCTGGGAGCCCCGGGCCAGGACCGAGGGACCTAGAACCAAGGAGCGTGGGGAGCTTGGACCGAGGGACCTAGACCCCGGGCGCCGGAGCAGGGGGGCAGGAACCCGGGTGTGCCGGGGCGAGGCCCAGGGTGTCTGGGGACCCGGGACCGAGCAAGCATGAACCCAGGCTGCGGTGGGGACCCAGGACCCGAAGGCTGGCCGCAGCCACGAGGGACGCGCCCGCTCCAGCCCCCCAGGGCCGCTGGACGTGCCAAGCTGGCGCCCTCGCTGCCTGAAGCTGGGGGGTGCCAGGCGGGTGAGGGGAGGCGAGGGGCTGGTGCCAGGGGTGCTGGCGACCCGGGTGTGGGGCGGAGGTCAGGACAGGCCGCGGCCTTGCAGGGGGGCTCCTGGCGGGACCCAAGGGGTGCCAAAAGCCTGTGGCTTGCTCTCCTCCCTTCACCCCGAGGGCACAGGGCCGAGGGCACGGGGCAGCCCAGCAGACTAGGGCCAAAGGCTGTTAAAAACCATCCCCTCCCGTGGACTGTGCCAGAATCCTCCATTTCCTCCCCGTTTCCAGGCAGCGGGAGCCGTTCCCATGGTGACGCACCCCCCACCCTCCTCCTGCCAATATGCAAACCACCTGGCCTCGATTGGTCCAGGGAGCTGCACGTGCTGGGATGCTGGAGCCAATGGGCTGTGGACGCAGCGCGCATGGACGAGGGGCCTGGCTGCCCCCAGGAGGGCAGATTTCACCCCCGCCCCGTCTCTATAGGGGGGCAAACAGAGCCGGCTGCCCCCACCTCTACGGGCAGTGAGGACCGGGCCCAGCTGGCTGCAGGATCAGGCCCCCTTGCTCCGGGGGTGCAGCCAGGGAGGCAGCCCTGGGGGTCTCCACTCAGCTTCGAGCGGGCACGCCAGGGTCCAGCCCCGAGCCTGCTCCGGGCTTGTTTCCCCAAGCCAGGAGGCGCAGCAGGGGCTGTCACGTACGCTGGAGCTCCCTGGAGGGCCCGACCCCTCCCCGCGCTGCCGTCTGCCCCCACTGCCAAGACCCCAGCCACAGGCCCCCAACCCGGGCAGGGAAGCGGCAACAGGGCACGTGGACCAGGAAAGGGGGTTTAATGAGCATTTACATCCGCTGGAGGGGGTGACGTTCGGGGGCTGAGAACCCAGGAGTCCAGGCGCTGGGGGCCACGCTGCTCCAGGAAGGCCAGGGGAGGGGGGCGTCTGCAAAGCGTAAGGTCCCGTGGCCCCGAGCCCTCTGGCTCCCAGCTGCCCACGGGCGTCACTCCGGCCCCGTCTCCCCATCCGGGGGCCCCGGGGCCGCCCAGCCGCTCCAGGAGATGCTGCGCCGTCTGCGTCAGGCTGTGCTGGGGGGGGAAGACGAGCACGAGGGTGAGTGGCCCCGGGGCCCTGCCAGCTCCCAGGGGCTCCCCCATTCTCCCTTCGCCACCATGGGGGCTGGGGCCGAGGGGGATACGGGGGCAGTGCTCAGGGTTGTACGTGCCCGAGAGCCGCCTCCTGCCTGGACGGCTCTTGCCCAGCCCTAGGGAGGACAGCAACCCCCCCCCCCCAGTCTGGACCAGTCACAGCAGGGGTAAAATCCCTTGCTGCCCCCATGCAGTGTTGAGCTGAGCCCGAGTGTGGGGGCAAGACCCTCCAGCCAGGACCCTGCGGGGTTGGTGCCAGGAGCATTGGCCCGGCCCAGTCCCCATCCTCAGCACTTGTAGGGGGGGGTCTTAAAACCCCGATACCTGTAGCAGAAAGGTGGGGGGGCAACCAGAAAGGCCCAGAGCCCCCCAGAGCAGAGCCCAGGCAAGGCCATGCCCACATCATGCCCCACCAGTGCCTCTCCTTGAACCCCTCCAGGCATGGAGGGTCCACAACTGGCCGGTGGGGCGGTGGAGGGCTGCCCTGGCGCAGACATGCAGCCACCTCTGGGGTGGGGCAGGATGTTTGGGACAGGGAAGGGAGCTGCCAGGCATGGGCAGGGGGCCTACCTGCAGGACATGCAGCCCCTTGAGGCAGACGACAGCCAGCTCCCGCAGCCCATCACCCGTCAGGTCGGCGTAGAGCAGGGAGAGCAGGGGGCTGGGGAAGCTCCGCCGCCAACGCAGCTGGAACTCGGCCCCCGGGCCCCGGGGCTTGTAGCACAGCAGCTCCTGCAGGGCGGAGAGGAGCCGGGCATGGGGAGGGGCCGTGGGGGCCAGAGACCCCCACCCTCACACCACCTCCCGTGCAGGGGCTGGGGGGCAGGAGCCAGTCCTGGGCTCTACTTGTTTTCCCTGCCTGCGCAGCCCCCCCAACCCCTTATGGCATATGACCCCGCAACAAGGATCATTCCCTACAGCTGGGAGAGGAGCAGGCAGGCTTCAGCTTTTCTAGAGGGCCTATGTGCACACACACATGCATGCATACACACACGTGTACACATGTACCCATGCATGCGCATGCAAGGATGCATGCACACATGCATACTAGGATGCATGCACGTGCATATAAGGATGCATGAACACACAACACTCACATACACGCAAGCACATGCATGCAAGCACACATGCATACTGGGATTTACACATGTGCACATGCATGCTTGAACGTGCATACTTGCATGCAAATGTAAGCACACATGCATACTAGGACACATGCACATACAAGCACGCAGATGCACACGTGGATGCAAGCACATGCATGCTAGCACGCGCACATATGCATATACAAGCGCATACATGCTCACAAGCATGCACAAGTGCATGCAAGCACACCTGAACATATGCACATTTGCATTCACACGCCCGCACACACGGGCACACACCTGCATGCACAGGCACACGCCCCGGCGGCACCTACCTGTCCATAGGTGCCCAGCAGGATCTCTTGGGCACCATCAAAGTCGACATCAGTGACCAGGGCGCAGAGGACGCTGTCGTGCTGGTCACTGCCCGGCAGCACCAGCTGGTCGCCCAGGCCCTGGCGCAGCACGTCCCTGTGGGCCAGGGCAGGGGTGTGAGCTGGGGGGGACCATAGGGAAGCTGGGGGTAGGTGGCCGGCTCCTACCGCGTCTGTGTGTGGGATGGGGGGTTCAGAGGTGCCCTGGACCGCTCTCAGCCAGCCTCCCCCCGTACATCCCCAGGACACCCCCCCAGCACCCACCGGTACACAACAGTCAGCTCCATGGTGCTGCTCACCAGCACACTGTAACCCTGCGGTGGGTCCTCAGTGTCACCTGGGTGGGGGGAGATGAGGTTGGTGGCACGCAGCAACGCACACAGGTGTCCAGACAGCTGAGGCAGCTCCTGCCTGCCTGGGCCTGGTCTCTTGTGGCTTCCAGGAGCCTTGCCCCCCCGCCCCCCCAGCCACACTTACCGCTCGGGGCTGGCTCCTGGAGGGGCAGCGGGAACACCAGGACCCTGGAGATGGGCCCATCCTGCTGGATGCTCCAGCTCTGTAGCACCACTGCGGGGGGAGCAAAGAGGGTATGAGGGGCAGCGTGGGGGTCTGGGGAATCTATCCCCTCACCCCTTGGCATCCACCCAGCCCCTGCCCCCAGGCTCACCTCTGCTGGTCTGGTCCACCCAGGCTACCCGGACGTAGCCGCTTTGGCAGCCGAGGGCCGTGAGCCGCTGCCCGGAGCCAGGCAGGTTGCAGACGTCCAGCCACAGCACGCTGCAGGCACAAGGAGGGGGCAGTTGGGATGGGGGGCGGCCGGCCAGGGGGACCCCACGGACCCCCGATGGGCAGCGAATAAGGAGGGGGCTGTCTCCAGCACAGCCGGGGAGACGCCGTATCCCCGCGTGTGCACACGCTTGCTCGTGGGCGTGCCCCCGCCCAGCCCCTCTGCCTTCTCCTACTTGCTGGGCAGCTCCTGGAGCTCGGGGAAGAGGTCCTCCACGGGCTGCTCCTCGAACTGGTGCAGCCCCTCATTCTGGGGTGGGGGGAGGGAAGGACCGAGCGTCACCAGGGGCCGGCACAGCCCCTCACACAAGGGGCCGAACTGGGACTAACGTGACCCCCCACCCGGCCAGGGGATGCCGGCTCTGTCCCCCCCCACCGCCGTGGATCCTCTCACCTCCTTGTAGAGGTGGATGCAGGGGTCGTTCCCGCTGAGGAGAAAGACGGTCTCGGGCTGGTCCCCGACGCACACTCTGGGGAGAGCAGAGAGGAGACCCTCCAGTGTGTGCCCCCTTGGATACCACCCCCCCCATGTGCAGAACAGCCCCTGGGTCTGGCAGCCCACCCCCTCCCTTAGCCCTTCACCCCCCAGCATCGAGCTCTACACGTGCCGCTGGACTGCGCCCAGCTCTGGGGTGACACGCTGTAGCCGTTCAGGGAGGACACGTGAGAAAATGCCAAGGCGAGGCTGCCAGGCCCACGACCGTCCGGGCCAGCGAACCCCCGCACCCAGGTGCGGCCCCCAGCCCAGACGGGCCCGTAGGAAGCAGGCTGGGCCCCCGTGCCCTGCGGGTGGGTGGGTGCCAGGCGGGTACATACTCGGCGTGGTAGAGCTGGAACGGGGTGAAGCGCAGCTCCAGATTCAGGCAGCTCTCTGGGAGGAGACGACATGGCCCGTGAGGAGTCGCCCCGGGCACCCCGCAGAGGCTGCTCCCAGGCCCCCGGAGCCAGGGCGCCGGTCCCACCGGAAGCATAAAACCTGGCAGTGTCCTCTCCCAGGAGGCCTTGCACAGTCCCCCCAGCTCGTTAGAGCCATGGGCTCGTTAAAACCCATGTAGAAACTTTGTCAAGGACGGTGGGAAGATGTGCACTGAGGCAGGCCCCTGCGCTACACGTTACACACATCACGCCATTTATTGGGCAGCTGTGCAGTAAGTGTAGACCGGCCACACGGGCACGGTAATTAGCACACAACAGACCGGTGAATTGTGCAATAAGTGTAAACCAGCCACATGTGCACAGCAGCTGGCATACAATGAACTGGTGAATCGCGTCATAAATGGAGCCCGGCCACACGTGCACAGTAATTAGTATGCAATTAACTGGTGGATCGCACAATAAATATAAACCAGCCACATGTGCACAGCAGTTAGCATGCAACCAGCTGGCGAATCGCGCAATACGTGGAGACCAGATGCACGTGCGCAGTAATTAGTATGCAATTAACTACCAGATTGCACAATAAGTGTAAACAGTCCACACACGCCTAGTAGTTAGCACACAACGAACCGAAGTGGTGAAGCACGCAATAAATGGAGACCAGCCACACGTGCATGGTAATTAGCACACAACGCACAGGCGCATCGCGCAATAAACGTACGCCAGCTACACTTGCAAAACGAATGCAAACGACTTGCGGGGCCCAGAGACAGCGCGATAAGACACGTCTGCCAGCCTGGGGGCGAGGGGGCGAGAGCCGGGCGGCTGGACTGCACCCACGAACGTCCGGGG